TTAAGGGCCATTACTGTAAGTTAAAGTGCCTGACCGGAACAAGGCAACGATATGCGCATCTCCTCTAAATATTGAATGTTCCCATACAGTTTCATTGAATTCAAGCCAGTAGCGCGGAAACGGATATTGTTCTGTATGCATACTGCATAACTAATCAAGGGCCAACACTCTGAGTTAAAGTGTCTGACCAGATCAAGGCGACTATATGCACATCTCCTCTTGGTATTGAAGGTTCCAATAAAGTTTTGTTGAATTCCAGCCAGTAGTTGCAGAGAAGTAGCGCGGAAACATACTGCATAACTTATCAAGGGCCATAACTCTGAGTCAAAGTGTCTGAGTAGAACAAGGCAACGATATGCGCATCTCCTCTTGGTCTTGAAAGGTTCCCATAAAATTTTGTTGAATTCCAGCTAGTAGTTGCAGAGAAGTAGCGTGGAATAAATTTTTGCTCTATATGCATACTGCATAATTAATCAAGGGCCATAACTCTGTGTTAAAGTGTCTGACCAGAACATGCCGACGATATGCGCATCTCCTCTTGGTATTGAAGGTTCCCATAAAGTTTTGTTGAATTCCAGCTAGTAGTTGCAGAAAAGTAGCGCGGAAACAATTTTTGCTCTATATGCATACTGCATAACTAATCAAGGGCCATAACTCTGAGTTAAAGTGTTTAACCGGAACAAGGCGACGATATGCGCATCTTCTCTTAGTATTGAAGGTTCCCATAAAGTTTCGTTGAATTCATGCCAGTAGTAGCAGAGATGTAGCGCGGAAACGATTTTTACTCTATATGCATACTGCATAAGTAATCAAGGGCCGAACTCTGAGTAAAAGGGTCTGGCTGGTACAAACTGACGGTATGCGCATCTGCTCTCGATATTGATGATTCCCATAAAGTTTCGTTGAATTCCATCCAGTAGTTGTAGAGAACTAGTCCGTAAACGAAATTTGGACGGACGGACAACGCAAAAACAATATCCCCCTCCCGATTCCATCGGCGGGGGATAACAAAATTAAGGCATTCGACAAAAACCTTTACCATAAGCAACTTTTGAATATTAATAATACAGTCTGTTTTAATATTGTTTGCCCCTTGTCAAGAAAATGCGTGTTATTCATGGGGAAGAATTTTAAGCGCATCATTATTTGAAGATGCATTCTAAGGGATGTTCTTTAAGAGGATGTGAAGAAACGTTGGTTTTTAAGTTTAAAAAGTTTTTAAGGGTTCAATAAATTGTTCCCGCTCAATAACTTGAGTTTTTTTTACTATTAACACCACACTTAGTGTGTACGTAGCTTATATCAACAGGCAGCTCGTAATTGCTACCCAGGTGTCTGTGATTAATGTCAAGGTCACTGTAAATAAAAATAGAAATTCCGTTTCCGCTCAATAACTTGAGTTTGCTTTGGCCTATTGACACCAAACTTGGTGCATAGATAGCTTATATTAAGAGGCAGCTTGGGACTGCTACCTAGGTGTCTTTGACAAAGGTCAAGGTCATTGTTACTAAAATAGAAATTCAGTTTCGCTCAATAACTTGAGTTTGTTTTGGCCTATTAACACCAAACTGGGTGTATAGATAGTTTATATTAAGAGGCAGCTTGAGATCGCTACCCTTGGGTCTGTGATCAAGGTCAAGGTCAATGTTACTAAAAATAGAAATTCAGTTCAGTTTCCGCTCAATAACTTGAGTTTCTTTAGGCATATTGACAAAAAATTGGTGTATGGATAGCTAATATCAAGAGGCAGCTGGGGATTGCTACCCAGGCGTCTGTCATCGAAGTCAAGGTCACTGTCACTTAAAGATAAATTCAGTTTACCCTTAATAACTTGAGTTTGCTCTGGCCTATTGACACCAAACTTGGTGTATGGGTAGGTTATACCAAGTGGCTTCCCAGGTGTCAGTGGTCAAGACCACGGTCACTATAACTTAAAATGGAAATTCAGTTTCCGCACAATAACTTTAGTTTCCTTCGGCCTTTAGACACCAAACGTGATGTTTGGGTAGCTTATATCAAGACGCAGCTTTGGATCGCCACACAGGAGTCTGTGATCAAGGTTAATGTAGTTTATTTACTTTTTTACACCAAACTTTCTATGTGTCAGATTTGGACTTCCACTTAGATATCTGGGAGCAAGGTCAAGGGCATTTGCCTACAACAGAATTTTCAGCTTCTACTCAATAAATTCAGTGCACTTTGACCTATTGATTGCTGTCACATCAAAACTTGATCGTTGAAAACCTGGTTTTCGTCGCCTTGCGGCGCTTCTTGTGTTTTAGATGAATCCTGTATATATTTTAGAATCAATTATCATTTGATTGAAGAAATGGAATGGTACCCGATGGACAGTGATGAATGTCAATAGCATAGCTATAGAAATAAAGTTATGAGAAACGATTGCAAAATATTCGATAACTTGAGATAGACCAATATAATACTTAAATATATTAAAATAATTTAAATTGTAAATTCAAAAAAACATTTTCAGTAGTGTAACTTATAACGTATGTGTAAAAGATACGTAAACTGTGATAAAATGAAACCCACTGACATGGTTGTGTACTTCCCCATTTCAACCCGGAAGCTCTCAATTTACGTAGATGACGTGTACGAGAACTTTTTTAATCCATATATTTGTGCACATGTATATACATGTAAATTCAGATAATTGCGTAAGCTGTTTAAGAGTACACGAATAGTTAATACTGACATCACATCACACACAAATTTAACATGTTTAATCATGCTAACTACTGTTATAAAAGTAGATGTTTACTTATTCAAATATTCTATATATGACGGGAGTCACTTGACAATTCGAAACTTAGCCAACTTTATATTTTATAAGTTCAAAAACTTTTTTTCCGAAAGTTTCAGAACATATTTTGGTTAATTTGAGTTTTTCCAAAGATTTTTGACGCCAAGTTCAAAATGTTTTTTTTTACATTCTATGTAGTCCATTTTATAAGTCTGTTATGATGGTTATCACACTGTGCACATTATTTTAAAAAAAGTCATTTGAACATTCTTATTTAGTTTTGTAAAGCATAAATTGCCGGACCTTCTGTACTTTTGAATTTGGATGAATGACATAATGAAGTGTGAAATAATAAATTTATCAATAAAATATGCGAATATAATTTACTGGCTCTTAAAATAAACCGTCTATAAAATGTGTAACCTGGTTTTTAAAAAGTGTGAATTTGAGCGTACGATAGAAACGATTTCTTTAAAATTTGTCGAGAAAGAATGGGAAACCGTCGTTTCTCAAAAGACATGTCATACTTACGTCATGTCTTTTTATGGACCTTCAACAATGACATGACACATTTGAGCTTCGAAGAAAACAGTTATACATTTATTTGTACATTGAACATTTTACAATGTCTGTGTAAAGGATAGTATATCAACAATGTAAGTACATGTAATATCGGTTGATATAATTGCAAAGAAAATATCAAACTATAAGCTAATGTATGCTATTGTCATATTAAAAAGCAGTACTTGTCATTTTTAATAAATTTCATCTTTTTATTAGTAGCAAGGTAGTATGACATGCTAGGAGCCTATCATCAAGTTTAACATAATAACACTTGTACATTATTTTCTAATTTGCTTGCGGAGGAAGGTAGTCTAGTACTGGTGTAACTCTCCTGGAACGATGATTAGGAAACTACCCGCCTATATGACTGAAATACAGTTGGAAAAAGGCGTAAAATGAAACAAACAAACAAATAAATCTTTATTACTTGCTCAAACGAAAATAAATTATTCATTCTCTTTAAAAGCTATTAAGTATAAAAAACAACGAGACATAATAAGGATTGGCAAATTGCATTGCTTTTATTATTTTATAGAGATCGTTTCGGGTCATCCGAGTGCAGCGCTTAGTTTGTGTCATATGATCCCCTTTGTCAATTACGCCTTCTAAATTACAGATCTAGTTTACTTTTTTCTTTCAAAAACCACAAAACAACAACAGTAAATAGTTTTCAGAGAAACATAATCATTACACGATTTTCGCGTGAGATACTGGGATAAACAAATCATCGCTGAAATTCAATATCTTGCAGTAATATTCGACATGAATATGGAAATTGAAATTTTCATCCAGATTTAACTTCTTCATTCATAAAGACAAAGAAAATGCGTAAGGAAGTCTATGTGTAAATCATGTAATCTAAGAATAATCAAACTCATCTGAACAATTTCTATGTCGTCCTGAGATAAACAAATCCTTAATGTAATTTAGCATGTCGGAAAGGTTACATTCGAATAAGCTGAAATGAAATTTGTTACTATATGTAATAAAAACATTTAGTACTGAAACAAAATAGAAGAAAAGTTCAATAGAGACGAAATTATGAATAAACAATTAAACAAAAGTTATTTCTCTCGTCAAAACTTGACATCGAGAAATTTCCAAATCTAACAGAAAAAAAGGTTTAAACATGAACTAATTACATTGTTCAATGAAAGATATGAGACGTTTCCCCCAAATTAAAAACGAAAATAGTTAAATTTAAGCTAACATGATTTTACAAAAAAATATTGAATTACTGACTAATTGAAGATATGCATCATTTAATATAACGTCATGTTATATGATTAAAATATATAATAGTACAAATCTTGCTTTGTGATAGCTTATCGTACAATTTTGTTTGTTAGTTTCATTTTACGCCTTTTCCCAACAGTATTTCAGTCATATAGGCGGGTAGTTTCCTAACCATCGTTCCTAGAGAGTTACACCAGTACTAAACTACATTCCTCTGTGTTTGTTTACCAAAGCATCTCCCGGGGATCGAACCCACGCCAGAGAGGTAACTGGATTAGAAATAATCGACTCTAACTCCTGGACCACGGAGGCGGTTATCGTAAAAAATTCTCCAAACGTTGGTATCTAAGAGCCTTGTTAAAATTAAATGTATGAAACGCAAGAAACAATCTTCCTGTTGTTGCTTAACAATCTGTGTTCATTTCTATTACAGATTTGCCAAGAACATTAACCGTCGTTAACTATTTAAAAGAAGTGAGCTGTAAGCAGGTATGTCAACTGAAAAGTGTGAAGCAATGAATGAGAAGTCAGATTTGTCGCGGTATCTATGGTTAGTGTCAGAGCAAATTGAAAGACGAATCGCAAGATCAAAGTACCTTACATACTTTTTAAGCAATATATTTGATCGTTCTATAGTTTATTCAGGAAGCCGATCGGAAGGTGTTTCTATTGCACAATCTGACACTGACTTTATGTTTGAAGCCAAAGGAGTGTTTGTGAATGATATGCCTAATTTAGGAAAGTCATCTGATCAAGTTACACAGTTGGTGATGGATCTTACAGATGTTCATCCCGGTTATACAAAGTTGTTGTTTGAAAATGATCGCAATGATAAGGACAATAGTGAGTTTGCAGTATACGGTAATGGTTTACATTCTTTATGCCCACAAGGGTCAAATTTTGTATCGAACACATTGGTACTTGATTATTGGAACTCACAGTCAGCTTCTATTCTACCTGATCAACACAGAGAGAAAGATTTATATTTCCATGGTCCTTGCGTACTCACGGCGTACACAATAATGATGACACGACATGAGATTGATGTCGCTATTTCATTTAAAAGCAAGTGGCCAGTAGTCGCAGAGGAATGGATAAGAAGAGAAAGAAAATATAACTGGCCTTCTTCATCCATGATCAATCAAATTAAGGAACAAGGTATAAATCTGGTTCCCGTAGGGCATGCAAATTCGCCAAATAAAGAACTTGAATGGAGATTATCATTTTCAAAAGCTGAAAGACTTTTAGTATGGTCTTTCAATCCGGTTCAGCAGATATGCATGAATGTTATGAAACATTTTTTCAACAGTCAGATCACTCCTAAATTTCCAAAATTGTTTCCATCCTATTTCATTAAAATAGCTATGTTTTGGATAATAGAAAAAACAGAAAACTGCTTTTGGATCGAAGAAAATTTGCTCTCATGTTTGACCACGCTCTTTGAAAGATTGGTTGCTTATCTAGAAGAAAAGAAAATTGACAACTATTTCATACCCGCAGATAATATGATGGACGCAAAGCCAGAAGATAAACTGAATAGTTTAAAACTTGAACTTCTTAAGTATAAGTACAATTGCAATAGTGTATGGTTGCAAATTCTAAATATTGGGATTTCAACATTTGATAAAAATGATATATATTATCATCATATACAGATTAATTGTCTAAGCATCTCTCGGTTCTTTATATATACAGAACTGTTGGATTTAGATTATCAAACCTGTTTGCGAAATCTAGAGGGAGCCATAACAATCCTTAATGGAACCGATATCTTTCCTGTCATGCGTAGACATTTGATAAGTGAAATCAACATAACAAAAGCGTGCTTACAGTTTTACAATGACTGTAACAAAAGCAAAGTGCATGCAGAAAGAGACATAAAATGTATTGAAAAAAAATTACAAACTGGGTGCGCCCTAAACAATTCAACAGGAAAATTAACACTCTGTACGTTTCTGTCGTACACAAAACAATATCAGGAGGCGTTGACTCTTTTACAAGATATTGAAGATCAGTTTACTGATTTGGTTGTGCATTACAGGATCTGGGAACGTTCGAAAAAGCCAATGGATGAAGATTATGACTTATCAAAACCACGGTCCTCATTCGAGGATACAATGCGGACTTACATTGCTTTAGATGTGGTTGTAATCCCATTTCTTTTGAGAATCTATCCTCAGTCGGTCCAGTCAATTCCTACAGCCGAAGAACAGGTGTTATTCATACATCCTGTTTTGTACACTAAGGTGTTAAAATTTCACTGTCATCATATGTTACAAAATCATGATGAATGCCAAAATATTTTTGAAGAAATGAAAAAGTGTTCAGCACTGGAGCAAGATGTTTCGGATTCAACTTCTGAAAACATAATTTCCAATTGTGAAATGATGTTGACTGAGATACAGACACAGAGGCAGACATAACCATTAATAAAAGAAACATCGCCATATAACATCTCATCTGTTGGTGCGACGTAACCCCCCCCCCCCAAAAAAAAAAAAAAAAAAAAAAAAAAGAAATGCACATGAGTATTACGTTATTTCGTATATTGCGACATTTTCGTGCGATAATTGTTTTTTTTTCTTCACAAGAAATTGCGATTTATTTAATTTTCTTCTTTGAGTGTCTTCATTAAAATAAGATTTTGTAATTCGTTTGTGATAAATTCTGATGCACAAACACCTGTATTTGTATCCAATACCGCCCTATCACTAACTGCATCTGGATAGAATTAAAAAAAAAGTTTCATCAATGATAAAACATGAATACTCTCGTTTTGACTGATTGGTTATGATTTCATGTTTACTGTAAGCATTGCCTTTCCATTCCCCCTCTTTTTCCATTTTATTCTCCACTTTTCCTTACACCCCTTGTCCCTTTTATTCCCGTATCGACCCTTCAATTTCTATCATTTTACTTATAACATGTCCTTCCTCCACCTACACAGTCCTTGTGTTCAATGGCTTCTTGGTGCCGTACTGGTGTTGCTGTGTTTTGACGGAGGTTGCTTTCTGTCAACGTCGTTGTACTTTGATAGTCTTTGTTTTCACCTTATTGATCAATTTTATTGACTCTCAAGATAAGGCGCCTTAAAATCGGGAAATTTATCCTGTGACAATGTGACAAATAAATTATTTCAAATTTTGAGTTTTCTGTTTAGCATTAAACTCTTCTCAATAAGCCCCTATTGTTTTGATTTAGTTTTAGTAAAATTATAATTAAAGATGATGATCTGTTTATTTGGAACTTATGACAATGAAAGACGAGTAATATAATTTGCTATGAACATAAATATATTACTGTTATTAGTAGAAGTATTTATTATTTCATACTTAGTCTATTATTTCAACAACTGGTATATATGGCAGCATTTATACGTAAATCAATTTTGTGAGATAATTGTACGTAACCTGGAGTGCAGGTATTAGTTATCCGCACTCCAGAGCATGCTTGTTGATTAGCTTTTTTCTGGGGGTTTATTTTTTTGTGACGACAGGGAAAGGGATAACAAAAGAAAAAGGTATATTTAAAAACTCGTTCATTAGTTACTTTTTAATGGGGTTTCATATTGTGATGACAGGGAACTTTTTTCTTTTTTATATGATACAAAAGAGAAATAATATGAAAACACTCGGCAATCTGATCTATGTTCTATGTATTACTTAACCACAATAATACGTTTAATACATTTGAACTAAATCAGAATATAATAAATTTTAATAAGATACTTTACTACTCTAGTTTCCATTGGTACAACAGTTGCTTTTAAGATGACAAGTGCATTTAAATAGTTGTGAAATATCGGTTCATTCATAAAACAATTATCCCACTCATTGATGTCATGACAAATAATAAATGCACATATATTCTCAGCGTGATTGGTATACCATATATATCGTGTAATTCATTCTTTGGTAGGTCTCTATTTCGTCTTCGACTTTATAAATTCAGTTTTATTAGACAATCCTCAACATCTTAGTTATCACACGATGTCCTCATACTTTGAATGGTGCATAAATGATACGAACATTGTTCTTTAACTGATTAAAACAAAATTAATGTTGGTTATATTATGTATACATGATTTACATCGTCAATATGTTTGTGTCGAGAATATATTTAAGTTGAATACTGTAATAAATATAACCTTTTTTTGACTTTGAAACATTATCAATTATATATCTAATACCTGAAGGAGAATTTATGAACAAAATAGACACTACATTCATTATTTTACAAGAAACTACCTATACATCAATCGAATGGATAAATAAGTGCGTAATGAAACAAATTTAACACAATCATTATACATTAAATCAGTATAAACATGTTTATTGAATTTTACCATGATGTCATGTTATTCAGATTTACTAGATTTGTTTGTTGTAGAAATGCAAATCTTGATCGAAATACGCCCGCTTAAACCCGATTCTAAATGAGGGTACTGTCTCTTTTGTCCGCAGATGAAAACTACGTATTTTACTTAAGGTTATATGTGTACAAACTTGCAAATAATATGTGTTTGCCTAGTTGTAGCGTCGATTTAAACACATTAATTTATATTAATATTTCGGCGGTCGCTCAAACGGCGATGTGTTCTTTCTGTAAATAAATAGTATAAATTTTTCGGAAAATACACCATTTTCCAGAGCTACCCGTTTCAACATCATTTGTGTGATTAAATTAACGATTCGTTTGTGTACAAGTTCGGAGGGCCTTCTGTGCACAGTAGAAGGTTCAAAGCCCTAATCTAAGAAATGTGTACTAGAGATTTCCACGTGGCATGGTCGGTTTTTGATCCGGCGATTTGTTCTGTCTGTATATTAAGTGTATAATAACACCATTTTTCTTAGCCAACCCTTTGTACACCATTTGTCCGATTTTAATGCGGATTCGATTTTTGTACAAGTTTGGGCGGTCTTCTGTGCACAGTTGAAGGCTCAAAGTACTAATCTTAAAAATAGCTACTAGAGATATACGCGTGGGAATTGTCGTTTTTTAGTTCCGGTGTCGCGTAATAATCACACGGGCGTAATTTTACCACGGTTTACTTCATGTTTTTTAAAACTTGCCTGTAACTTTATTTACAAACAAAGCGCTGTGAAAATTGGTATAAATCTTCAGCATAGAACAATTATTTCGTACATGTATTTGAATATTCTGACAGTTTTTATGTTCTCCAGAATATATGCGTGAAATTGAGCTTAATCGCCAAATTTTGCATCTTTCGTAGGGCATTTTTAAAAAACCTGCAAGGTTCTAAAAGTATTACATTCATGAAAATAAATGCTTTAAAACTTGTCAGGGGTGTTAAACTTTGTTTCTTGTCCATTGTTTTATTTCTAAATTGGCTAGAACTAATCTTAATTTGTAGTTGAAAATGGCCAATTTCTCCGAAAACTAGGTCAAATTACCCGAAAATTTTGCCCGAAAGGGTACCTTAAATTTAAAACTTGTCATTCATTACCATACACATTTATTCTTAAGAATAAAGGTCTAATAACTTGCCAGATATTTTAATATTCACAATTCAATGATTTTTTTTAATCAACAAAGGCCATAAATATAAATAACACGATTTAAAGCGGCTTGTATCATTCGGCCGTTTTTTCAAAATGGCGGACAAATTCTGTTAAAATGTGATCTAAATACTTTCTATTAACTGAGTACGTATGCGTCATTATATTGCATTAACTTTGATATCAAAATGTTAAAAAACGTTTTTCCCAACTCAACAAATCATTAAGACAAAAAATGACAATTCAAATTAACAATGGAACTCCACAGCTTTCTGCATTTAAGTCAGCTGCCATTTTTGCCAATTGAGGATCACTTAACTATGGTGTCTGATTTGTGCTTATAATTTCGTTATTTTGTTTGGTTGTAATTGTTACAAGTAGCAAAACCTTGAAGAGAGACAGAATGAGAAACATTATAAAAAAATTATTTTGTCACACACCTTTTTACCCTTTTTAAGTATTTTGTAAATATAGGCCCTTCAAACCGCAACAACACAAAAAAGATAAAATGATGAGAGGGGACACATTTTTTCCATGTGTCATAGGGTGAAACAAATGTGCAGACTGACTGGAACTGGAACCCGGGACCCTAAATAGTGAAACACTTCTGAACTGTGACATACTCCCCTGCTATATTGAAATTCTTCCTCGAGTTTCACAGAGTTACAGAGAAATGTAAATTAAATTCTGAGCTAATGATTATTCAGTCACTGTCCCCCATTGGGCGCGCAAAGTGTCAATGGGTGAGAAAAATGTGCAGCCCGAGCAGAAATCGAACCTGGACCCTCGGAATACCATATCGCTGCCCTACCGACTTGGCTATTTGGCCGCTTACACATCATCTCCCCAAAACAGTGAATAATTCTGACCCCTGCTTTATTTAAATTCATCCTTGAATTTCACAGAGTTACAGAAAAAAAAAATTAAACTCTGATATTTTTCATCAGGCCCCCCTTTTGTCCAAATTCACGGGGTCACTGAAAAAAACCCCACCAAAACTAAAACCTGGGCCCCTCGAATACGGTCCCATCCCCATGACTTAGCTATCCGGCCACTTACACCACTCTTTACATAGTGAAAGTTCTGAACAACATACTCCCCTCTATTTTAAATTATCCTCCAATTTTTACAGATTTCAAAATTAGAACCCCAAAACAAAACCAACATAAGGGCTTTGCGCCCAGCATGGATCAAACCAGCCTGCGCTTATGGACCCCTTTTGCTTTGCTTGAAACCCCTATAAAAGACAAAAAATTATAGCAAAACATACCCTGAGCCCTGATAAAACGGGCATGCGCGGGCTGGTCGGATTCATGCTGGTCGCAAAACCATTAAGTTGGCTTTGTCGTGACGTGGCTCAAATGTAAATTGAACTCTGAGCAATATTCAGTCATTGGTCCCCTGTTGGGTGCCAAAGTGTCACAGGGTGAGAAAAATGTGCAGCCTGACCGGAACTTGAACACGGGGGACCCTCGGAATACTACACTGCCGCTCTTAGTCATTTTAGCTATCCGGCCACTTTCAAATCATCTCTCCTAAATAGTGAACATTTTTGAACCGTGACATACTCCCCTGCTATATTTAAGTTCATCCTCAAATTTACTGAGTTACAGAGAAATGTTAATTAAACTCTGAGCTATATTCAGTCAAGCGTCCCCCGTTTGGTGCCAAGTGTCACAGGGTCATTGAGAAAAATCTTTGCAGCCTGAATGGAACTCAAACCCGGGACCCTCAGAATACTTGTTTGTTTGTTTGTTTGCTTCATTTTACACCTTTTTCAACAGTATTTTCAGTCATATAGGCGGGTAGTTTCCTAACCATCGTTCCTGGAGAGTTACACCAGTACTAGACTACCTTCCTCCGCCGCTAAACTACCAAAGCATCTCCCGGGGATCGAACCCATGCCAGAGAAGTAACTGGATTTAGAAGTCATCAACTCTAACCCCTCAACCACGGAGGCCGTCTTCCTCAGAATACTGTACCATGGCTCTATCAACTTAGCTATCCGGCCCCTTACACATCATCTCTGTTAAATGGTGAACAGTTCTGAACCATGACATACTCCCCTGCTATATTGAAATTCATCCTCCAATTTCACAGAGTTACAGAGAATTGAGCCGCGTCACGACAAAACCAACATAATGGCTTTGTGACCAGCATGGATCAAGACCAGCCTGCGCGGATGCGCAGGCTGGTCTGGATTCATGCTGGTCGCAAACCCATTAAGTTGGTTTTGTCGTGACGT